ACGTGGGCAGAATGAGGCTATCGGTTTTAAAAATACTTCGGAGATATAAAAAAATAATCGCGTACCATGTATATTTCGGAAGCTTCACTTATTCGCAGGAGACCATAACATGGTAGAAAGTTTCTGCGGTCCTGATCCAACAACTTTTAGAACACTACTTTTGATTAGGAGAACATAAAACGTTCGAAAGTAATTGACAATAATCATTTTTGTTTAAATAACCCTCCTTTTCTACGATCCTAATAAATAACTCGCTTTTCTGTGATGCTGATACAATCATCTTTACAAGAGTAATTAGAGTACATAAAACTGTATGTTAAGCATTCTTTCCCTACATCGTACTGTTTCTTAGCGATCGTAATAAGTGACTTTGTTTAAATAATCTAACGTTTCTGTGATCCTGATACATACAATAATTTTTAAAAGTTATAGCTTGTATCAGGAGAGCTTTAACGGTCAGGAGAACATAAAACGGTGGGGTTATATTCTAACACAGTACTGAAACAACATTTTGATAATAGCGTTAAGTTCCTGTGATCCTGACATAATATGTTTTAGAAGAATAGAACTCATAAGACATTTTTCTGTGATCCTGGTATAATAATCCTTTGAAAAATGATTTCAATTAGGCGAACAAAAAGAGGAAGTGTTTGTGAATGATCATAATACAGTGCGGCATACAGCGTTTGAAAATAAGTGTATGTTTCTGTGATCCTGGTATAATAATAATTCGTATCAGGAGAACATAAATAATCGTTTTATTTTTATACCGTTCGACTTCTCTGTGGTCCTGATAAATTGTATTTGAAGAAATGTCATGCCATGGTAGGGTAGAAACAGTTTGACTATTATCCCACGTTTCTTCTTTCCTGATACAATAATCTCTATAAGAATTGAGTGTGGACATAAACCGGTGGAAACTGTTTGGCAATAATCATTTTCTTTAAGTACTGTCTTTCCCTGTGATCCTAACGATTACCTACGAAAAAACGCATCTTAATACTTGCATTAATTTTTAAAACATAATTCGTATCAGGAGAACATAAATAATCGTTTTATTTCTATACCGTTCGGCTTCTCTGTGGTCCTGATAAAATGTATTTGAACAAAGGTCATGACATGGTAGAGTAGAAACAGTTTGACCATTATCCCACGATTCTTCGCTCCTGATACAATAATCTCTATAAGAATTGGGTGTGGACATAAACCGGTGGAATCTGTTTGGCAATAATCATTTTCTTTAAGTACTGTATTTCTCTGTGATTCTAATGATTACCTTTGAAAAAACGCATCTTAATACTTGCATTAATTTTTAAAATATAATTTGTGTCAGGAGAACATAAGTGTTTGGTAATGATTAATTTTCATACGGTTTTATCTCTGTAACTTTGAGCAAAAGCTAAAAGTTTAACAATTTTATCACGTGTCTGTGACCCTGACACATTAAGTTTTCCAAGAATAATTTGTATCAGAAGAACATGAAAAATTGGAAAGTGCGTGCGTAATAACGTAATACGATATGCAAAGTTTGACAAATCTTACCAGGAAAACATAAAATGATAGGAAATATATATCAATAATCATCTTTCGATTATACCTTCCTGGTTGTATATGATCCTAATAAATTCACCTTTCGACGTCAGTTTTATATCAGAACGTAGTACATTGATAATATACGTTTCTGTGATCCTGATCCCATAAACTTTCATTGAAGGAAAGTTTTATTTTTGTCCCACGCTTCTACAATCCTGATACAATAGTTTTTACAGTAACATTCTGCGTTTGACAATGATTCTGATCTAAAATAAACCTGTGATCCTAACAAAAGGAAGTTTGATATCAGTGCATTGATAGTAATGTTGCGTTTCTGTGACCCTGATACATTAAGTTTTGCAAGAATACACAAAAACGATGTCTGAAATTACTTTTAGAAGAATAATTGGGATCAAAAGAACATAAAGCAACAGCAATAATTTTTTTACTCCGTTTTGTTGGTCTGCGATCCTAATAAATTACCTTTGAAGAAAACGTTTATATTGTCCTATAGCAGAGTAGAAAGAGTTTTATAATATTCCTGCGATCCTGATACAGCAGTTTTTAGAAGAATGATTTATATTAGGAGCATATAAAATGGTGGAAACGCTTGTCAATCCCCCTGATTTTCTATGATCTTAATAAAATACCTTTGAACAAAGGCAATGACACTGTACGGTATTAAATGATTAAGAATGTACTTACGTTTCTGACATCCTGATTATTGCGACCTGTTTTCTGAGATGCTAAATCACCTTTTGTAACGTAACAGTCCAATATACAGCGATTAATAATAACCATGTTTTCTGCGGCCCTGATACACAAACAATGAATAGCACATACAGCCGTGAAATGCCATTGAGAATTGTTTCCCTCTTATATAGCCCCACTACTCTGCGATCCTAATTCATAATACTCGTTTACGTTTCTGTCATCCTGATACAATAATTTGTATAAAAATAATCCGTATCAGAAGAACATAAAGCGGTGGTTTTTACTCCTTTTAATCCGTCCCGTTTTTCTGCGTTCCTATTAATCACCTTTGGATAAAAGTTTTATATCCACTTCTTTGGCAATAATCGTTTTTTTACAACTTGTCGCAAAAGCTAACATAACACTAACTACGGCGAAAAGAGTTTGAGAATTGTTTCTGTAAGCCTGATCTGTTCGGAAGCATTTGACAGTACATTTTCGTTTACACCGTTTTATACCATAACTTAGTGCGGTATACAAAGTTTGGTGATAATCTTAGCTTTTCTGTGATCCTGATACAATAGATTTTCGAAGAATGAAAAAAAATTGTATCGAGAGAACATAAAACGCTAATTATTACGTTTGAATAAAGACAGCACAAACGTTGATGATAATCTCATTTGCTGTAATCCTGATACAAAACGGATACTTTGTATCAGTAGAACATAAAACAGCAAAGAATACTTGGCTATAATCATTGTTCACCTAATAAATTAGCTCTGAAAACTCTTCTCCTGTAATCCTGATAATAGTTTTCAGAAGAATAAACGATGGTATAAAGGGGTTGATAAGTGTATCTTTCTGTGGTCCTGATGCAATACATTTTTTAAGGGTAATTTGTATCAGGAGAACATAAAACCAAAGAAAGTGTTGGCAATAATTATTTCACTGTGATATCGTCTTGTTTCTCTGTGATCCTGATATAATCGTTTTTAGAAGAACCAACGATGGCAAAAGGGGATTGATAACTGTACCTTTCTGTGGTCCTGATGCAATACATTTTTTAAGGGTAATTTGTATCAGGAGAACATAAAACCAAAGAAAGTGTTGGCAATAATTATTTCACTGTGATATCGTCTTGTTTCTCTGTGATCCTGATATAATCGTTTTTAGAAGAACCAACGATGGCAAAAGGGGATTGATAACTGTACCTTTCTGTGGTCCTGATGCAATACATTTTTTAAGGGTAATTTGTATCAGGAGAACATAAAACCAAAGAAAGTGTTGGCAATAATTATTTCACTGTGATATCGTCTTGTTTCTCTGTGATCCTGATATAATCGTTTTTAGAAGAACCAACGATGGCAAAAGGGGATTGATAACTGTACCTTTCTGTGGTCCTGATGCAATACATTTTTTAAGGGTAATTTGTATCAGGAGAACATAAAACCAAAGAAAGTGTTTGGCAATAATTATTTCACTGTCATATCGTCTTGTTTCTCTGTGATCCTGATATAATCGTTTTTAGAAGAATCAACGATGGTATACGGGGTTTGATAACTGTACCTTTCTGTACTCCTGGTGCAATACATTTTTTAAGGGTAATTTGTATCAGGAGAACAGAAAACCAAAGAAAGTGTTTGGCAATAATTATTTGAATGTGATATCGTCTTGTTTGTCTGTGATCCTGATAAATTATCTTTGAATGGTTTTTTACATCTAAGCACAATACATTGAAAAAGAGTTCGTCAAAAGTTTCTTTAGAGAATCCTGACACCATGATTTTTATAAGAATTATAAATTTGTATCAGGAGCACATAAAACAATAGAGAATACTTGGCTACAATCGTATTTCACCTAATAAATTATCTCTGAAAACTCTTCTCCTGTAATCCTGATATATTCGTTTTTAAAAGGATCAACGACGGTATAAGGGGTTGCTCAATTTACGTTTCTATGCACCTGATGCAACATATTTTTCAGGGTAATTTGTATCAGGAGAACGTAAAACCAAAGAAAGTGTTTGACAATAATTATTTCATTGTGATATCGTCTTGTTTCTCTGTGATCCTGATATAATCGTTTTTAGAAGAATCAACGATGGTATACGGGGTTTGATAACTGTACCTTTCTGTACTCCTGGTGCAATACATTTTTTAAGGGTAATTTGTATCAGGAGAACAGAAAACCAAAGAAAGTGTTTGGCAATAATTATTTCACTGTGATATCGTCTTGTTTCTCTGCGATCCTGATACTATGATTTTTCTAAGAATTATAAATTTGTATCAGGAGAACATAAAACAGAAGAGAATACTTAAATTAATAAAATAAATAAATAAATAAACAGATAAATAAATAATAAATAAATAAGGAAATAAATGTATACGGACGGGGACGGCGGGAAAAGTTTTAACCACCCATAATTGTACAAATAAAAAGGAGAGGGTTCATTATACAATTTTCGTAAAGCTAACAACGTAAATGGTGTTGCGAGGTAAAAAACGACTACCGCATCAAAACCTTACACCTATTTTAATGTGTAACGATTGATTTTAGTTTATGTGTATATTAAGGTCTCTATGGTTTCACTTATTTATTATTAAGCGTTCAATTTCCGACGGAATTGTGATATGTCCGTCCGCTCCCAATATTCCCTCATTGTCCGCCGAAAGGGCTCACCGATCAAATTGATTGACGTGCGCGGTTTGGTGACGGTGGCGGCGTCGCAATTTGAACACGTAACTCTTCTGGTGGTTTTTTTTTAATTTGTTCTGACATGCAAATGATAGTACTTGTTGAAGCGTTGCCGATGGGGGGTAATGGGTTATTAGGGGTTGAGGCGATCGGTGCTCCGTCAGTGAGTTAAGACGGTGCTCGGTTTTCGGTTTGTTACCATTTCTCCTTCTTTGTCAAGTGGATATGGATAATAAGGATGGTAGTAGACTGTTTATTGAGACCGAAAGAGGAAACAACTCGAACGGTAAGTGCGGTGTGAAATTTGCACATGGAGTGATATTGCACCAATTCAACCGCGGCTTGGAGAAGAAGTGAATTCGATCTTGTAAAGATTTCCGCTTTCCTTGCGTTTTCCATAGTTTGTCAGGAAAATTACGGAACGCATCCCTTGACAAATGTGGTTTTTACCAAAGAAATTTTCCAGAGCTTTTCCAGTCGTTTTTTTCTAGAAAAAATCCTGCAGTAGAGTGAACAAAAGGCGCTTGACCATAAAAAAACACCACCAATGAAGCCTACGGTGATAATTGAGTGCACTTATGGTAAATAGTGACTAATTGATCTTAGAACCAAACAAAACAGGACCTTGGGAGTGAATTTTACTTCAGGATCCAACTCTGAACTCAGTGAGAAGTGAATTCTCTCTTTTTAATGTTTTTTTTTTGTCTTGAGGAAATCGATTTTATGTCTTATATGTTAGAAATTTAAAGTGAATCCGCCTACCGTCTCCTCTACTAGGAAAAATAGTGGTCTGAGCGCAGCATGAACCTTCCCCTATAATAGAAAAAATCCAACGAACTTCCTCACTGAGTTTAAAGGTCAGCCAGGAGTAATTAATTGATCGTGGAACGAAATAAATAATCAGCACATTTTAGAAGAGTCATACTGCGCTCAGAGCACTAATTTTCCTGGTAAGGAGAATGGTTATTTATCGAGTTATCAAACCCCTCGTTTTCCGAGATATTTGTGATTTTCCGGAAATGGTCATCGAATTTTTTTTGTTTGCTGGGGGGTACTCCATATCCCCCAGACTCCCCGATACTACCTTATCTACCATATTTTGTAGGAGAGGAGGATCTGATTATTTTGGCCAAAAACAAATATCAGTCCTGAAGGATAAATGTATTGTGGGAGAAGTATTATCGGAGGTCTTGGGGAACTCTGCAACTTCCTTTCCTATAACCCTTAGTACTCTCATGGGTTTTTTTTCTGGAAATGGCAAAAAAGCAGTGATGGTGTGAAGAAGTTATCGAGTCCTCGTTTGCCGGGATGATTGTGAATTTCCGGAAATGGCTATCAAATATTTTTTGCTGGGGAGTTTGCCATACTCCCCAGACCCCCCGGTGTGAGGTTCTCTACCATACTTTGTAGGAGAGGAGGGTATGATCATTTGACCAAAAACCCTGCCAAAAACTAATATGGAAAAGAACGTTTTCTGGGGAAAAGTGTTACCTGGGTGTCTGGGAGGTATGGAATACCCCCCTCCCCCCAGCAAACCACGATGTCATTATTGCCATTTCCAGGAAAAAAAAACCCATGAGAATACTAAAGGTGATCCTATCCTCGTTTGCCGGGATAATTGTGAATTTCCGGAAATGGCTATCGAATATTTTTGCTGGGGGGGTATTCCATATCCCCCAGACCCCCGGTGTCACGTTCTCTACCATACTATGTAGGAGAGGAGGGTCTGATCATTTGACCAAAAATTAATATAAGAGTCCAGATGGAAAAACCCTTTTCTGGGGAAAAGTATTACCTGGGTGTCTGGGAGATATGGAATACCCCCCCCCCCCCCCCCCAGCAAATCGCGATGTCGTTATTGCCATTTCCAGAAAAAAACCCATGAGAATCTAAGGGTTATCCTATCCTGGTTTGCCGGGATGATTGTGAATTTCCGGGAATAGTCATCGCATATTTTTTGCTGGGAGGGTATTCCATACCCCCCAGACCCCCCGGTGTCAGGTTCTCTAGCATACTTAGTAGGAGAGGAGGTTCTGATCATTTGACCAAAAACTAATATAAGATTCCAGGTGGAAAAAACGTTTTCTGGGGAAAAGTGTTACCGAAGTGTCTGGGAGGTATGGAATACCCCTCCCTCCCCAGCAAACCGCGATGCCGTTATTCCCATTTCCAGAATAAAAAAAACCATGAGAATCATGAGAATACTAAGGGTTATCCTCGTTTGCCGGGATGATTGTGAATTTTCGGAAACCGAATATTTTTTGCTCGGGGGTATTCCATACCCCCCAGACCCCCCGGTGTCACGTTCTCTATCACACTTTGTAGGAGAGGAGGACCATTTGACCAAAAACTAATATAAGATTCCAGATGGAGAAACCTTTTCTGGGGAAAAGTGTTACCGCGGTGTCTGGGAGATATGGATATCCCCCCCCACCCTCCCAGCAAACCGCGATGTCGTTATTGCCATTTCCAGAAAAAACCCATGGGAATACTAAGAGTTATCCTATTTTGCCGGGATGATTGTAAATTTCCGGAAATGGCCATAGAATATTATTTATTGTTGGGGGGTATTCCATACCCCCCCCCCCCCCCCCCCCCCCCCCCCGGTGTCAGGTTCTCTATCATACTTTGTAGGAGAGGAGAGACCAAAAACTAATATAAGAGTCCAGATGGAAAAAACCTTTTCTGGGGAAATGTGTTACCGGGGTGTCTGGGAAGTATGGAATACCCCCCCCCCCCCCAGCAAACCGCGATGTCATTATTGCCATTTCCAGAAAAAAACCATGGGAATACTAAGAATTATTGCCCTTTCCATAAAATTCCAATATATTATTATTATTATCATTATTATAGTCTGGACAAAAACTAATATAAGAGCGGGAAGAGCATAGCTAAACAACGCTAAATAATAAATGCTATAAATAACAGATGAAAAAACGATAAAAATATCAAAAAGAAGAACACAATCACCGGAAACGAATGAGACAAAGACGTAAGCAAAGAAAGTGTCTAAACGCTAAAATCAAGGAAAAGAAGAGCGCGAGGAGGAACCTGAGGGAAGATGGTCGACAGGAGAAACAAGAGAAAGAGAGGGTGCATGTTTTACAGAAGCAAAGGTGGAAGGGACGGAAGAATAATAGTAATATTGACAAGAATAACACAACCACCAGAAACGAATCGAGAACGAGACAGAGACGTAAGCGAAGAATGTAATGTAAACCGCGAAAACCGAAAAAATAAAGCGGAAACGAGAAGAAGATTGTGAGGGAAGAAAGCGAGAGAGAGCAAGAAAGGAGGAACGTAAGGATCCAGAAGCAAGAACTTACTGGGAAGAAAATGAGAAATAATATAAAAGCGGATGAAGAGAGGTGCGAAGCAATGAAGTAGAGAAGGAAGGAGAGGATGAGATGGAGCGAGTCAGGAAATGGGAACAGAAGTGAGAGGATGAAGACGAGCAGAATTGATAATCAAAAGAGAATCGGTGGTGGAGATAGAGATGGAAAAAGACACGGGTAAATAGAACAGAAGCAACTGAATGAACGAGAGGATCAGTTACGGAATAGAAGAAAGAAAAGAAAGAGGAAGGGAAGAGAGTGAGAAGGTGACAAAAAACACATAAAGAAACAAAAAGAGCAGTAAGCAAAAAGACGACCCACGTCAAGGAAGGGAGAAGGAATCTGAAGGCAACGGATGAAGATGCAAAAGAGAGCTGGGATCAAACGAAGAGCGAGAGTCAATCAAGGGGAAACGATAGAAGGAATGAGAGGAGGAAAGAGAAGATAAATGCTATAAAGAACGAACGGAAGAAAGATAAAAAATATCAACACGAAGAACGCATCCATTGGAAACGAAGAGAAGGAGACAGAGACGTAAGCGAAGAAAGTGTGTAAAAGCGAAAATCAAGAAAGAAGAGACGACAATAGACAAAAGCGAAAGGACGAGGAACTTAAGAGGGAACGGGAATTAGAGGATGGATAAAACAAGGGTGAGGAGGTGGACGGGAGGAGGATCGAGAAGAAAAACAACTGGGAAAAGTACACCGAAAACGAGAAATACACAAAAGCGAATGCGGCAATTAAGGAGGTGGCGGAGAGTGACAAGGAGAGAGAGGCGTGAGAATAGAGAAAAATCAAAGACCAAAGAAAATTGAGATTATAGCAAAAAAAAACCAGAGGGGAATCTAGAGAGGGGGCGTGAATTAAAAAATGAACGAGAAACGACGGGGTGAAGAACTGGAGGAAGAATGAAAGGAGGATCGAAAACGATGTAGATGGAAAACCAAGAAAAAGGAAACGATAAAAATAAACAAACAAAGAAAGAGAGAACGAAATGGCAAAGGGGAGCAGATACTAGACTAAGGGCAAGACGGAGACCTGAGAGAATGGACGAAGAAGAAAAATATCTGGAAAAGTCACAAAAGAACATGAGAAATACTATAACAGCGGCTGACACGATAAGGGCGGGAGCGAGAAGGAGACAGAGAGGTAAGCGAACAATGTGATATGGAAAACGAAAACCAAATAATGAAGAAGCTGTGCTGGGTGCGGAAATGATGATGAGAAAATTGAGAGCAGAAAACGAGAAAGATGAGGAAGAAGAACATATTAAGACGTGAGAAAGAACCTGATACAGAGTGAGATAAAGAATTGGGTAGGAAAGAGAGAATGTGGAAAAACAAAGGAGAGTGGACGAAGCAAGAGAAGAGAATTTAAAGTCAAAAGCGGACGAGGGCAGGACCATGAGGAGAAAAGAGTGGGAAATAGGAACAACGAAATGAAGAACGACGAGAAGAACTCGAAGAGGAACAAGAAGATTGTCGACAAGAGGAACAAGAGAAAGGGAGGATGAATGATTTACAAAACCAAAAAAGCGGAAACGAGAAAAAGAGTCTGAGGGAAAAGAGTGAGGAAAAGAAAGAGATGAGAACCGTGAGGACCGAGAAGAAAAACAACTGGAAGAACCACAAAGAAAAGGAGAAATATAATGTTAATGGCTGCGAGTGAGAAGGGGACAGAGACGTAAGTGAAAAATGTGATTTAAACTATAAAATTGAAAAAAGCGAGCACGAGAAGAAGAGTGCGAGGAGGAACTAGAAGGGAACCCGTGAATTAAGCGATTGGCAAGAAAAGGGCGAGTGAAAGAACGGGCGGAGGGACGCAAGGAGGATGGAGAAGAAAGGCGGCGGCGGCGGTGAAATAGAAAGAGATAGTAGAGATGGAGATAAACAATTGAAAATACCGAAAAGGGGACCAAGAAAAAAAATCAGGGGAGAAACTAGAGGGGAAA